CTCCAACTTAAGTGCCTAAAATCTCTTTTTTTCTCTTAATTTTTGTCTTGGACTTTGCATCATAACTGTTTTCCCCTTCTGTCAGTTACTGTTCTTTTTCACATGCCTCCTTTTCTAGCACGAGCTAGATTTTTTCCTCTACTATCGCACTAATGGCTACCGTTTTGAGCTTTGTTTGCTGACTTTCTTTAATATTGCTTTTATTATACAGCTGGGGTATTTACATCAAAGATGGAGCCGAGAAAGGCGAGTTTATCTACGAGTACTGCGGGGAAATAATCAGTCAAGACGAGGCAGATAGGCGAGGTGGGTCTTTTTCCTATCCATACTTACCTACTTTATCCATAATTACAGAAAACAGCCGATTTATCTATTTTCTTGCATAAGCCATTTTACCTGAGCATTATTTTTTTCAAGTGATATGGCATATTATGGTTGTTTTTGATAAAAATTAATAAATTTAGTAGACTTCGCTTGCTTTAGGACTGATAATAAAATTTTGCACCATTTAAGGACTAATAATGGAATTTTTACACTGAAATGAGCATATTATGCTATGCCATTAAGTTATTTGGCTTTGCTGCCTACAATGCTTTCAAATTCAGGTTTTTTGTTCCTCTATTTTTTCCTTTTTGTATCTAAAATAAAGACGAAGATTTATAGGTCAGACGTATGAGGGAATGAGTGAGAGAAATTATAACTTGGACGATGTGAGAGCCTCCAGTCGGATAGAGAATATTGTAATCTTTTTTAATATTTTATTTATTTTTATATTTAGTGTTACGCTATTCAATATTATATTATCTAATAATAATATAATATATTAATTATATCATGATATTATAATATTTTATATTAATAATATATTATTTATATTTTATATTTCTATACTATCCAATGCTGGATAAGATTTTTGGAGAAATTACTGAGCGATATAAATATTTATTATTATATTATATATTATATATATTTCAGGAAAAATTTACGACCGCACACTCAGCAGCTTCCTCTTCAACTTGAATCGTGATTTCGTCGTTGATGCGACAAGAAAGGGTAACAAGATTCGTTTTGCCAATCACTCTGTGAATCCAAACTGTTGCGCCAAGGTGAGAGCATCCTCTACAGGGTAAAATGTACTTAACAAAATCTGATATCAATTTTGATCATTTGTAAAAGCCTAAATAAGGGGAATGATAAAATTTTACTATTTATAAACATACTCGTGTAAAGGTTTTTTTTGTGACCATGCAGTTTACAAATATTTATAACTTAACCGAAACCGAATCTTTCTCTGTACTTTAAGCAAAATTGTCGAATGAATTAAGACAGCCATCCTGGTACTTTGAATTATTAGCTGTTAATGAATCTTCTTTGAGATTAATCGTGTAGTTGGTTTTTGATGTTTGAAGGCTCTATAGTTGAACTACTCTTGGCTTTGTTAGGGGGACTTTCATTTCGTATGAAAGTAAATGAAGAAGAGATTCGTTGGTCGATCTCACCAGATGAGGACGGATGAAT